TGATTGTAAGAGAAGAGGCAAAGTTCATCTCTAATTTAAATAAGTATACCATGTACAGGTTTAATTTTTGTTGTAGTAAGGTGTTTCAAAACTTGAAGTGAGGTAGAATCTTTGTTGGGTGCTTGTCCAAATGTTTAAATTTTGGGTACAGTTTTGAGTCGTCTTTCTTGAGTATGTAGCACAATTGGCCATGCCTTTGAGGTGTATGATATTTGGCTTGAGACAACTTTGCTTTAATTCTTTAAAATCATGCTGACTCTATAGTTCTTGCAAATTTCATGCAGGGTCTATGAATAATAAAGAAAAAAAAAGAAGGAACAAGGCAAGGTAAGCTAGATTTCATAAAGTTGTCATGGTTTTCTCTTCTAAGTCCTATTTAAAGAGTTAGAGCTTCCACAACATGTCTAATTTTTTTTCTGCCTTTGTTGCTTATCTTATACTGTTAAAATTTGTTGTCAATTAGTGCTTTGAATGTCTCGATATTTTACACATAATTAAATCAATTGTTGTATACTTTCGGACAGTCGGAGACCCTTTGCCTCTTAGGATGGCTAATTTGATTTTTTTTTTAATTAACAATATATAAATGTCATGTATATATGTATGACTCGTCATATTTAAAAAATAATGAGATTCACAATATCACATTAAAAATTCAATAAAATATTTTGGTAACATAAAGCAGCATTCTTATCTACAATTTTTAATCAGTCCATTCTTATCTAAAATCTTCAACCAGACCAATTACACCACCTAAGTATTACAAAGACATCAAGATCAAGTTAAACTAAACTAGTACAAAGAATACAAAAAGACTATTATCCATGTGTCTTTTACTATTACCTTGGTAGTGTTAAAATTAATGCCATATTTACATTAGATACATTGGATACATTGCATGCATTGGATACATTGAGTTCATACATTCTTTGTATTCATGTATTTTTATATTCATGTATTTTATATTTATTAAGTACATTGTCTAGATTATATTCATGTACCTAATTAATTACAAGGTTGTTTAGGTTCATGGATCTTATTCATTGAACTTATGTATAACCTTCTCTATATAAAAGGATGTAAGCCTATGGGCAATATATATGAATCAATAAGTGATAAAAATTTAATACAAAATATAGTTCATTCTAAAGAGAGTTTTATTAAAAGCTAACATAAGTGGTATCAGAGTTTTGGTTGGGTCAAGAGCAAGCTGGGCGTAGAGATCGGATACGGGAAAACAAGCCCCGAAGAAGAACAAACTGACGTCCATGGCGAATCCCATCAACCAAAATGTATCCACTCCTATCTTTAATGGTGAAAATTTTGATTTTTGGTATGTGAAAATGAGAACTATTTTTGTCTATACGGAACTTTGGGATCTTGTTGAGAATGGGTTCGAGGAACCTAAAGATGAAGAAGCTTTGACAAATCCCCAAAAGAACCAATTAAAAGAGCAAAGGAAGAAGGATTCAAATGCTCTCTCTTTTATTCAACAAGGAGTTTCAGAAGCAATCTTTCCAAGAATTATCAATGCAACAAAAGTGAAGGAGGCATGGGATGTTCTTCAGAAAGAGTATAGAGGCAACTTGAAGGTAAGAACCATCAAACTTCAGTCATTGAAAAGAGATTTTGAAAATTTAAAGATGAAGGATATGGAATTGTTGAAGGATTATTTTTCTAGGGTTATGGAACTTGTAAACCAAATGAAAATTTATGGGGATAATATTACTAATCAAAGAGTTGTTGAGAAAATTTTGATAAGTTTGCCGGAGAAATACAATCCCATTGTTGCTGTCATTGAAGAAACTAAAGATCTTGCTGATTTGAGTATTGAAGAATTGATGGGTTCAATTAAAGCATTTGAGCAAAGGTTGAGTAGGCAATCTGAAAAGTCAATTGAAAGTGCCTTTCAATCCAAGCTCAATGTTAGTACCTCTAATTCCCAAGGAAGAGGAAGATGAGGAGGAAGAAATGCAACCGGAAGAGTAAGAAATGCAAGAGGAAGAGGAAGGTCTAATTTTCAAAGAAAGGAAAATAAAGAGTCCACTCAACAAAAGTGTGGAATTTGCAACCGAAGCAATCATGTTGATAAAGATTGTTGGTTTCGAGGAAAGTCAAAATGTTACAATTGCAACAAATTTGGGCATGTCAAGAAGGATTGCCTAGTCAAGAGCACTCAACAAGCTAATTTTTCTGAGGAGCAAGAAAGTGAAGGGCACATGTTCTATGCTTGTCACAAGGCATCGGACCAAACCAAGGATGTATGGTTTCACGATAGCGGATGTAGCAATCACATGACAGGAGATGAAAGCATTTTTGTAAAAATGGATGCTTCCTCCAGTCCTCAAGTAAAAATGGGGAATGGTGCCTTAGTCCAAACAAAAGAAAAAGGTACTATTGCTATAGAAACCAAGATGGGTACAAGATTCATTTCCGATGTTCTCTTAGTTCCAGACTTGGAGCAAAATTTGCTAAGTGTTGGTCAACTTATGGAGCATGGGTATCTTGTTCACTTCGAAGACGATTTTTGCAAAATTTTTGACAAAGGGGGGAAAAGCCAAGTTGTAGCACAAATCAAGATGGAGAAGAATAGAAGTTTTCCTCTCATTTTTCGGTGTAGCAAAAATGCGGCTTTGAAAATGGATGTGATTGATAATTCATGGCTTTGGCATAGAAGATTTGGGCACTTGAATTTTCAAAGCTTGAAGCATCTACAACAAAACAATATGGTTTTTGGGTTGCCAACCATTCATGAAGTGCAATATATTTGCGAAGGTTGTGCACTTGGAAAGCATCACCGGGAGTCATTTCCAAAGGAGAAAGCATGGAGAGCTAAAGCACCATTGGAGCTTGTCCATACCGATGTGTGCGGACCTATGGATACACCAACTCATGGAGGTAACAAATACTTTATTATCTTTGTTGATGATTTTACTAGAATGACTTGGGTGTATTTTATGAGACAAAAGAGTGAAGTTTTCTCTATCTTCAAGAAATTTCAAAATCTTGTTGAAAGACAAAGTAGTTGTTTGATGAAAGTATTGAGAAGTGATAGAGGCGGAGAATACAACTCAAATGAGTTTATGAAATTTTGTGAAGATATTGGAATGGAAAGGCAATTGACTGTTGGGTACACTCCACAACAAAATGGTGTGGCGGAAAGAAAGAATAGAACCATAGAGGAGATGTCCAAGTCTATGCTACATGAGAAGGGGTTACCCAAAACTTTTTGGGGTGAGGCCGTGTATACAGCAGTTTACTTGATGAATAGATGTCCTACAAAAGCTCTTAAGGACAAAACTCCATTTGAAGCTTGGAGTGGAAGGAAACCATCGGTGAATCACTTGAAGGTGTTTGGTTCCATTTGTTATGTTCATGTTCCAAAAGAAGTGAGGCACAAGCTTGATGAAAATAGTAAGAAATGCATCTTTGTGGGTTATAGCTCAAAATTTAAAGGCTATAGACTCTTCAGTTTGGATCAAAAGAAGGTGATTATTTGTAGAGATGTTCTCTTTGAAGAGAAGGCGTCTTTTGATTGGAAGGAAAAGAAAGTCCAAGATCAAAGCATTACTTTCAATGAAGAATCGGAAAGTCAACAAGTTGAAGATGTTGCAACTCTTGAATCTCCACAAAGAGTGTCACCAATTGCTAGTTCACAATCTTCTCCAAGTTCAAGTTCAAGTTCAAGTTCTTCATCTCCAAGTTCAACTCCAAGGAATATTAGGAGTCTTAGTGATGTGTATGCAAGATGCAATTTATGCATTGTTGAACCTGAAAATTTTGAAGAGGCAATTAAAGATGAAATTCATGTGAATGAAAAGTTATCAAAGGAAGATGGAAGCAAAGAAGCTGAAACATCTTGTTATAGAAGTTTGGTTGGAAGTTTGTTGTACTTAACTGCTACAAGACCGGACATCATGTATGCTACAAGTTTATTGTCTCGGTTCATGCATAGTCCAAGCCAAATTCATTTTGGGGTTGCAAAAAGAGTGTTGAGATACATTCAAGGTACACTTGATTATGGAATTTTTTATGAGAAATTTCTTGATGCAAAGTTAATTGGATTTTGTGATAGTAATTGGGCCGGATGTGTTGATGATATGAGAAGCACTTCTGGGTATGCATTTTCTCTTGGATCGGGTGTAATTTCATGGTCATCCAAGAAACAACAAACTGTGGCACAATCATCTGCTGAAGCCGAATATATTTCAATATCATTGGCAACTACACAAGCAATTTGGCTAAGAAGAATTTTGGATGATTTTGGTGAGAAGCAAGGTGAAGCTACTCCAATTATGTGTGATAATAAGTCTGCTATTACTATGGCAAAGAATCCCGTCTATCATTTCATTAGAGAAGCTGTGGAAGATGATGAGATTCAAATCAAGTATTGCAAGATTGAAGATCAAGTTGCGGACATCTTCACCAAAGCTCTACCAAGGGACAAATTTGAATTTTTTAGAGAAATGTTGGGTGTCACACAATATGGCATTAAAGGGGAATGTTAAAATTAATGACATATTTACATTAGATACATTGGATACATTGCATGCATTGGATACATTGAGTTCATACATTCTTTGTATTCATGTATTTTTATATTCATGTATTTTATATTTATTAAGTACATTGTCTAGATTATATTCATGTACCTAATTAATTACAAGGTTGTTTAGGTTCATGGATCTTATTCATTGAACTTATGTATAACCTTCTCTATATAAAAGGATGTAAGCCTATGGATAATATATATGAATCAATAAATGATAAAAATTCAATACAAAATATAATTCATTCTAAAGAGAATTTTATTAAAAGCTAACAGATAGAAGAAGAATTAGGTATTTTAAAGTATCCACCACTTGAAATGTGGGATACAGCAAAAGCACACACTAGTAGGGTATACAACTACTAGTGCAAGAGAATGAGCATACTTGAGGTGTCTGTCATATTGTGGGGACTCCAAACTTCTCTATTCATGTGCTTCACCAACTCTCTCTCTCTCTCTCTCTCTGCACAATAGCACTTTTGGAGCCCTTCACATGTCTATAAATAGATACCACTTCATGCATTTCAGAGTCATAGATGTGGGTTTTAAACACATTTTCTTCTATGGCTACCCACAAAGTTATGAGTATTATTTTCTTTGTGTTACTGGGTTTAGGCATATGTTCTGCAACTAGAGCCCTCCTCACTCTTGAAGGAGGTGGCTACACTCCGGGATCAGGCGGCACTGCCAACTACGGTGCAGGCCATGGCATTGGAGGTGGCGGTGGTGGTGGTGGAGGCGGCTCTGGAGGTGGTGGTGGTAGTGGCTATGGAGGTGTAGGTGAACATGGAAATGTTGGATATGGAGGTGGTGAAGGAACTGGAAGTGGCGGTGGTTATGGAGCTGGTGGAGAACATGGTGCAGGGTTTGGTGGAGGTGGAGGTGGTGGTGGAGGGAGTGGTGCTGGTGGTGGTGGAGGAGGAGGAGGCTATGGTCCTGGAGTAGAGCATGGTTCTGGATATGGAACTGGGGGTGGTGAAGGAGGTGGTGCTGGCTATGGTGCTGGAGGAGAACATGGAAGTGGATATGGTGGTGGTGGAGGCGGAGGAAGTGGTGGTGGTGCGGGCTATGGTGCGGGTGGAGCGCATGGAGGTGGTTATGGTGAAGGAGGTGGCAGTGGTGGCGGCTATGGAGCTGGTGGAGAGCACGGAGGTGGCTATGGTGGCGGTGGAGGGAGTGGCGGTGGTGGTGGAGGAGGTTATGGTGCAGGAGGAGCAGGAGGTGGTGGATATGGTAGTGGTGGTGGTACTGGCGGTGGTATAGGACACGGTGGTGGATATGGTGGTGGCGGTGGCGCTGGTGGTGGCGCTGGTGGTGGAGCAGGCTATGGTGGCGGAGGTGAACATGGTGGTGGATATGGAGGAGGTGGTGGGAGTGGTGAAGGTGGTGGTCATGGTGGCTACGTCCCTTGAGAAAACATTCTCAATTCCTCACTCTCTTAAATGGAGAAATCTCCTAACTAGTACCAATAATAAGATTTAATTATGTGTTGAGAGGAAAATGTGTTGTATGAAATGTTAAAATTTAATGCCTTCAAATTTGCATTTGCATTTGCCTTGTTCTTTTCTAATTTTTCAATCTAAGATGTGATGCACTTTGGTCACAAAAGTCTCACTAACCCAGATTATTTTATTTTATTTTTTTGGAGTTTGATAAATTGACAGGACAAGAAATTGAATTCAATAAAAATTACTTTAATGAGATTATTTGAGGGGAAGATATTTCTCACTAAAATGCATTCTCAAAAAATATATTTTGAACCAAAATAAAAGAAGCCTAAAATTTGGAATTAGGTGCATGATAATTTGAACGAAACAGCCACCTTATTGTACTAAAACAATTTTAAAGAAAATCTGGAGGCCATTGATGAAGCCTAAAATTTGGCATTAGTTTTAATGCTTTCCCAAAAAATTATCACAAAATCGGATACAACTCTGTTACATGTGATGAATTGCACCAAATGTGTTGCTTCTATCCATGTAAAAGAGTTGTGTCTAATTTTGTGACAATTTCTATACGCTAAGAAAAATTGATGTATTCTAGCCTTATGCTTTTTAGGATTTGACAAATTTATATGGCAAGCTATAATTATCACAAATTTAAAATTGATTTGTGACAATACACTATTTAAATAAAAGAAATAACATATATCACCGATTATTTATTATCATTTTGTATCACTACTTACATGGATAATTATGATCAGTATTTTTGTTTCAAGATAATTGTGGGGATGTATTTTCTGAATACTAACACGTGGCATGGTGACGCAAATGATGAATTTTGTCAGCTTTCTGTTTTGTTACTCTCTCCAAACTCAAGTTGGTTAGTTTCTATCCTCCTTGCAATCTGTTAAAATATGTTAGTATTATATGTTAGTGATGTTAGTATTCTATGTTAGTATTGCTAGTGTTATCATTATGTTTAGCACAGCATTATGTTAGCTTTAATAATTATCCTTTGCTTTATGCCACCCTATGTATCTTTTCCTCTCTATAAAAGAGAGTGCACATCTCCTTGTAATAAACACAGAAAATCAATACAACAACAATCAATCAATAATACATATATTTTAACAAATAATATGAATTTTGATGATTAACGATTTTTGGTTTGATTTATTTTTAGTTGTTAAATATTAGACAAAATGAATTTTTATGATTAATGGTTTTTGTTTTGATTTATTTTTTAGTTGTTAAATATTAAACAAAAATTATTTATTTTATCTTTATAATAATTTTTATCTCTTAAATTTCTATAAAATTATTTAATGTGGGCACTATTGTGGACATCCCCCAGGACGACTACCTTGTGTAATATTGATGCAACGGTCATTTCCTGAGAAAGCATGTAAGATTCAGGCCACCAAACCAGTAGGACCAAACAACCAACCCGAGGCCAGACAACCGCCCTTGGCCGGATGACCGGTTGGACGATTGGCCAGATGACCGGTGGGACAACCGGTTGGAAGAATTGTTCAGTTTTGCAAATTCCAGAGAACTTGTCGACCACGGCTATCACCCTTTTCAATCGGGCCTAATGACCGGCTAGCTATAACCAAGACTAGATGATCGAACAACACAAGAGGACATCAGTCCGGACATCCAGGTGGACGACCGCCTTGTGTAATCTTTACTGCAACGATCTTTTTGTTGCAATGACTCTTCTTATTGTAATGATTGTCAACGGCTATTTGATTAAACCCGTCATTCCACGATTTAAACAAAATATGGGAAATGAAAACTACTCAAGTTGGGCAACGTAAATTTAACCAAAAATGTCACGCATCTCTTCAATGAGCAACGGTCAAATTACTGGATGTGTACTTCATTTAAATACAACTTCAGCTGTAGAAAAACACGTTTGAGCCAAAAAAATTTCTTTGACTCAATCATCAATCTCAAACTCACTCTGAGAGATATCTAAAGCATTCATCTTTGATTCATTCATCTTCTTCAGAAGTTAAACACTGAGCGTAGATATTTGTTCATCTGCCTTTGAGAGGTTTTACTAAAAAATTGAGCTTTCATATTTTGTATCTACCTTCGAGAGGTTTTCATTGTAGCTTTCTTTGAGAGCAAAAATATTCATCACAAATCCTGTAAGAGTGTAGAACACTCATTTTTCTTGATTCTTTTAGAGTGATAATGAAATCACCTAAGGTCTTCAAGGATTTGAAGGCTTGAATAGTCTATGAAAATCTGTGGAGGATTGCTCCATGTGTAAGAGGTTGCTAGCACCCCTGTGAAGCTAGAAGGTTGAAGAATAGTGGAAAATCTCAAGTTGAAGTTTGAGGAATGGACATAGGCTTGGATGAAGCCAAACCACTATAAATCTGTTTGCATTCTCTTTCCTTATCTCTTCAACTTCATATTCATATTTACTGCGGTATTCATCTGATATACTTGATTTTCATCTTTTATAGCTGCTGCACTAGAACTTAATTTTATTTGGATAATTGTTGGTTTTAATTTGTAAAAACCCAATTCACCCCCCTCCCCCTCTCCTAGGTTGCTTTTCGGGTAACATGTCTAATCATTTCTTTATGAGGAAAAGAATGACTCATAAAATGCTCATGAAAACAAATATATACTTTTGAAATGCTACCCAAAAAAAATATGTATATATTATCCCATCATTCAATTAACATAATGAATTCAAACACCCTAAATTTTTTGACAAAACATCCAAAACTAACTAACGAACAGATGAGAATGCACAAAATTACAATAGTCACTTCCAAAGTCATAAACATGAACAACCATTTTCACCTCTCTTCAATCTTCTTCAGCAGCAGCTTCACCAATCAGAAATATTAGGGCACATTACTATGAAGGCTCACAAACCAAACCAAACAAAACAACGCCTTATGTCCTACTCAAGTGGGTCGACTACATGAATCATTTTTCACCATTCCGCACCATTCCGTACTATTTAAGGGCTATATGCTCAATTAAATTAAATAAATTCATATAATTTTCTACTATGACATCCCATGTCAATTTAGATCTTCTACTCCCCTAACATATCCATTTAAAGTGATCATATCATCTGCTACACTGATTTTATGAATGTGTTGCTTCTAATTGCCCAACATTCTATCTTGTAAAGCAACACTGGCCAAAAATTGTATCAAACTGTTAGTTACCTGCAGCCCCTCTCGCACGTTGAGAGACAAAATAACACAAAATGAAAATGGTGCATAAACCCATCATGAAATAGTGCGCATTAATATGGAGGAACGAATGGTTTTAACAAGAATTGAACACAACACCTCCTTGAATCAGATCTCAGATATCATGTTAGGAGACCAATTATCACAAAAGCTTAAGCTTGTAAGAGCCCAACAATGTATATCTTATATTCTTAATAGTCTGATGCAAGAAACAGAACCCAACTGTACAAACGTGACTTCTAGTATTAACTACATTAAAATATATATTACTATTGGTAAACTCTTGAACTGATGGGAAAAAACCCAAAAAAAAAAGGGTAAGGATAATCTTACTTGGTAATCGTCCCATCAATATCGGAAATGACTACACGAGTGTCCCATTTCCAAGAAAAGATTCTAGCATCAACCTGTTAAGTCAATACTTCGAGTGAGAGAGAGAGAGAGAGAGAGAGAATTGCAATCAAACAATGCATAACAAACAACCTGCTGTGGCCCCAGCATCGCAGTTGAGAATGTGAAGGTTACTGTGTTCTTCCCTTTATTCAGATTCAAGGATGCCAGCTGTTCAGAAGTTGGAGTGACTGCCCTCACTTTCTTCTTCTTGACAAGCACATCTCTTTCCCCATCCAAACCAATAGAGCTCTCCAAAGTATTTTCACCATCAGAACTTGTAGAACTATGAGTTGGCTGGGAGGTATCAATGGCTTTAGATGGATTGCCTGAAAAAGTTTCTCAATATGATCAAAATAACTATCATGAATTTCAGTTCAAACATGTGAGGATGAGGGACCTTCTTCTCCATGCATGGACAGACTGAGGGATGCAACTGGATGGGTAAACAGGTATTCTCCCACAAGGGGTGATGCTGAAAAAGAAATTTTTTTTTGTCAATCCACAAGAAAAATGTTCTGGCAATATAGCCATCCTTTCAATTCAGTTCCCAATCAACCAGCAAATATGTAAGTTTTGACCTATATATGGCATATAAGCAAGTAGTTCTCTTACCGACTGCAGGGCTGGCAGGTACTTCTTTAGGCTCCTGTGAAATTTGAGCATCCTTGACTGTTGGTTGTGCCTGGGATACAAGATCTTTGTCTTCATCTGACTTTATACAGCTTGAAATGTCTCCCCTCAGTAGCATCCACTTCAAGGATTCAGAATTTGAATCTAGAGAATGGCCTAAAGAACAGAGGGGGTCATCTACATCTAATACATCCATGTGAGACCACCTACTAGGTAAAGATTCAGCCATCCTCTCAACATCCTCACCAGCAACTTTATTACTTCGTGGAATATTAATGAAAGTTGAAACTGTCCTTGACTTTTGTCTGAAGTCTTCAACATCATTTGGCATATTCTCTTGAACAAACTTGTCTGGAGATGAATGTAACTCATCATTTGGGTTGAGTGACTCAATCACTGCTTCACTAACATTTGGAGCAACTGAGGGGTGATCTTCTTGCTCAACATGAACTGAAGAAATTGACTCTATGCATTTAACTTCCCCATGATTGAAATCATCAAGATCACCAAAAAGGAGCTGTTCTTCCTCTGAGATGTCTGATGGTGAAACAGTCATTACCTTTGTTGTGAAACTGTCACCCCTAAATGCTTGAGATTCACTAATTGGCTTTGAAGAATACTGGAAATTGCTTATGTTATCTCCATCCCTAATATTTTGCTCATCTTGTACTTCATAAATTGACTTGTTGAAATCAGAAATAGTGCAAATGCTGCATAACTCATCTTTTTTTACGGAACCATATATTGGGTCAACAGTCACCAATGGAGTACAGGTTTCACTTACAATTCTATTTGCAATTGTGTTCAAAGAAGTTCCCTCACTACCAAGAATCTGTGCCTCATTGTCACATATGCCATCTGCTAACAAATCTGGAACATCTAAAGGTCGTCCCCCATTTGCTACTAATAAACTAGTTTCTTGTAGAGAGGTTACCTCAGATATTAGCTCAGCTGTCTGATGAAGTGTTTTGGCATATAAATCCTCCAATCCTCCTACCTTTGAGTTCTCTAAAGTTTCACAGTAAACAAAAGCTTCGAGTCTATCTTCTCCCCTCTCCTCCTTGGAGACCCCATCGCCTGGTAAAACAATGTCCTTCTCCTTAAAAACCTGTTCATCAAGCTTCGTGCTGGGACATGCACTGAGCTGAGCAGGATCTGGATCAGGACTTATGGTCTTAGAGATGAAACCCCTAGCATTCTCATCATGATCTACATTCATTCCACCTAATTGATCAATCTTCCTTACTGTTTGAGAATTCAAACTATAATTTTCATGCAAACCACTTTCACCAAAAGAGGATGTTTCAACAATGTGCTTAGTGTTTAAATGTGAGATTTCCACACCAAAATCCTTATCAGAACTCCCCAGTTTCTGATAACTATTGCCCATTTTGCTGTCATATGAACTAATTCCTTCATGCAACACATGATAGTCTAAACTATGTACCATGTTGTCCTGCAATGGAGAATCCGTCTCACCCTGTCTAACCTTAATTGGCAAATCATTGTTTGCTTCGCCACCTGGAATATCGGGAGCAGAAAGCCGTGACACGTTAGTTTTCCTCCGCTTAGTACATGCAAGATTTGTAGACCAGTTCACTTCCAAGAGGTTAGCTACAAGTTTAGCCCGCTCCAATGAATCTGCTCGTACAACACCAGGGCCAGTCTCTTGCTCTTGACTAGTATCCTCTTTCATTGACTTCCTTCCAAAAACAAGACCAAAAATACGAGACCTGCATGAACTTTTCCTTGTCAAAATCTTCACATTAGTGGCATCAATATGAGTAACCAAATCAGACTGATTAGCATCATAGTGGAAACTTTTGGACTTCAATGGACTAGTACTACTCCGGGACTGCTCATCTGAAAATGGAGGATAAAACACAGAATTCCCCTCTTCAACATCCACCTCACTGAGAAAGTAGGTTTCCCCTTTGTGATCCAAATACATATGGAAATCTGCTTGGACTCCATTGACACTTATGTTGACCACTTCCTCTTTTGTCTTGGGAACCCCTTGAAATTTCCCAAACCGAACATACCAAGGTGATGATTTGAAGGTCCCATCTTGCTGTTCCACCACAATTATATCTACAGCACCACTAAATCGATGAAAGGGCCCAGACACAGTATGAACTCCTCGGGAGATGTAGTTGCCAAGCCTCCCCACTGCATACATTCTCCAAGAAATCCAAATTTCTCCGACCACCCAGATAGCAAAAAAATAAAATAAATAAAAATTTCAAAACCTCATCATACATTAACCATCCATGAATCAATCAATCGCCCGGAAAAATTGGGAACAAGACTTTTAGCTCATGACTTATCTACCATTACTCTCTGCTAGATCATGTTGGAATTCCGAGAGTAAGATCATAAAAACCTCAATAGAATATCACAGCTCAATAACCCAATTGATTGTCCCACCAAAACAGCGAAGCTTATAACTCCATAAAAAGTTCATGAATTTGCATAAGACCCAACTTCAAATAACAGAGAAAAACGACGAACAAGTCTTTAACAGTACACCAAACCCAGCTCAAAAAATATTTGATAGTACAAATTTAAAGCCAACCCATATGAGAAAAAACTGAAAAACCGTTCTCGTACGTTGAACAACATATTCGCTTCTACATTATTAATCGGATGGGGCAAATATCTAATCAGCAAGACACTCCAAAGAGCATGACCATGTGTATTACCCCTTTTATATAAACATGTTATTGTATTGTATATACATACACTTTAGATGAAAGAATCGCCAACGTAATCAGTAGGGTTTGGGAAAAGGAGACTGACCCGAGGAGAAGAAAGTCAGCTTTGCAAACAAACGGCTAACAGTTTTCTCAGTCTATTATGGACGAAGGCAGAGAGAGAGCAACAACTGGTCTGGCGTTTGTATTCTGGGAAAAGTCGATAGGAAGAATGTGTGATTTCATGATATACTCTCATTTTGAATTTGAATTTTTAAAATGTTTTTTAAAAAAGTAGGCTAGTTTAATAAATTGTTTGAAAAGTAAATTATTTTGATAAATAATTTGAAAAGTAAGTTACTTTAATAAATAATTTGATAATTTGAATTTTTAGAATATTTGTAAAAAAAAAAAAAAAACTCGGGTTGAATGAGTTAGGTGGAATGGCTTTTATTAGGTGGAGACAATTTTTTTTTTAACTATAAAAAAGACGTTCCGTAAGGTATCATAGCATTCGTAGGTTCTTATTCTATAATAATTGATTGACAATCAAATTTAACTTAACTCATAGAAAATGACCCACCACTAAGGTAACAATGGACTTCACCTACCCCGCAACAAGAGACAGAGTCACAATCAGAATATAATATATTTATTTTGTGAAATTTATATCTCCAAAATCCGAGCCCTGCTCTTTCGTGTGGAAGGCTAGTGTGTCACCACCCCCGGTGATTGAGACAAAAAGTTCTATCCATGCTTTTAAACAACCCTCCGCCGATGGCTTTTTTAACTCATGATTCGATTTTGATTTAGAAAATTGGAGAAAGGGTCTCTATAGATCGATTCTGGATTTATGTCCATGGGTTTGGATTTGAACCAAATCAAACTATATAACTTAAATCATATATATTTGCTTGCTACATATTATATTTATTTAAGTTAATGGTGGAACGATCTAAATGTTTATGTTTCAAAAAATTATGAAAGATTAATGTTGAACAATTTTTGCTTAATATTATGTTTTTGTTTGACTAGTGAATATTATGAGTAGTTTGTTTGATGGTCATGTTATTATTACTTTTTATAATTTATGATAGGATGAATGTTTTTTAAAATTTGTATGATTTTTCTTGTGAACAAATTATATGAAACTGTGGTTGCAAATCAAACTGAACCGTGTTTAAATAGTTTGGTTCGAATTGGTTTGTATGATTTTAATGGTTTGGTTAGGTTCCAATTTTTTTAGAACCATAGGCAATGGATTAATCCTGATTTCATTTCAAACCGATCCAAATCGGGCCACGCTCACCCATATTCAAGAGTGTATACTATATGCACTTTCTTACGTATTTTTGTAATGTATATTACGTAATTTTGTAGTAAAATTTTATATACTTTTCTAATAAAAGTTATGATAATTTGTGGTTTATAAATAAAGTTACGTATTTTTGTGATAATATTACATATTTTGTGATATTGTTACACATTTTGCAGTTAGAAAATGTTTGGGCCACAAAATATGTAACTTCATTTTTGAACCACAAATTATCGTAATTCCTACAAAAAATATATGTAATATTTATCACAAAAATACATAACAATATGCATATTGTACACATATTTTGAAGGGTGTGTACCATAGCATAACTCTTTAGGTGGTGTTTGGGATGAGCTAAATTAGCTTAAATAGTTGATAAAGATAAATAATAAAAAAAATTTCCTATAGTTAATAGGACAAAATGTCACATTTATATATCAATCAATTATTTTTTCTCTCACAGCCATCTGTTCAACTATTAAAAAAAATAAAAAATAAAATCACAAATTATCTCAAATACAACATTTTTCATCTCTTAAATAGTCAAATAACCAAAAAAAACTAATTAAAATATCAATAAATATATATGGTTACAATATATTATTAAGTTTTCAAATTGATAATCTACAATTATTTATTCTAGTTAGTATCATTTTAAGTTTTCAAATTGATAATCTACAATTATTTATTCTAGTTAGTATCATTTTTAAGTTAATTTTAATGAGTACTTAAAAGATTTAAATTAAGTTGTAAATATATTTTGTGTAAGTTTACATAACTAAAATAAGAAAAAAGAAAAAAAAAATCAATTTAGTTAAATAACTTGTCAAATGGCTTTTTTGTTATAGAAATATAAGGCACCCTCAAAAGTTATAATTAAGACTAAAAGATAGAGGGTTTTTTTTTTTTTTTTTTTGGTACATACGTATTTAAAGATTTCAATACTACAAATTATAACTTAAGAAAATATCACTTTTTGGGTCAAATAAACTAAACAAGTTAAATAAATAAATTTAAAATTACAATCAAACACCATTAGCTAACTTTTTTAATCAAATAAATTAAATATGTTAACTTATAAGTGCTACCAAATGGGGTAAAATCTCATTCAATTATTTTTTAATTTTAAATAAAAAATATGTTAATGTGACTTTTTAACAATTAGGATCAGATTGGGCAGGGTGACCTCCCATCTGTCATTCGTCCGAATATCAATATCCATTTGTCTGATTAGTTAGCGGATGCGTATTGAGCAGCCATGTGAGTTGGCGGGTTGATTCGGTGGTTTGAACTTTACTATTTTATGTTTTTTTTTTAGAATAATTTTTTTATTATTTTGGACCTTATTTGAGTTCAAAATTTTTTGTTCTTTATTTTTTATAATTAAAATAAAGCCCAAGCTTTTATATTTCATAAGGTAGCTAATATACTACAGAAAATAGCTATTTTGCCGACTAAAAACTTAGTCGCAAAAAGGCTGTGTTTTAGTTGCCAAAGACATTGCGCGACAAATTTTTTTAGTCACCATTTTGGTCACGTATACTTGGTTAGCAAAACTATTTTGTGACTAAAAAGTTATTTTATCAGCAAATATCAGTGTTTGGTGACTAAACTTTTGGTTGTTGAACATACAACTACCGTGACTAAAAGGTTTGTAGCTAGAAACTTCAGTCGCTAAAAGTAAATATTTCCTTGATCAATAAATTTGGTTGCGAAAACTAATGCTTCCCCGACAAACAATTTAGTCGCCAAATATACTATTTCGCCAACCAACAATTTCGTCACCAATGTTTGTGTTGTTTTATCAACCAAAAATTTGGTCACCAGAAGTGATAAAACACCAACTAACAAATTTTGTTATCAAAAGTAATAAAACACCCACTAACAAATTTGGTTGCCAAAAAAGATAAAAACCAGACCAAATTTGTGGTAGCCAATTCAATTTTTAAATCAAAATAGATAAATATTTTATTTTAATAACATGTAACCTCTATGATATAATAAAAATCCATTCAATAGAACCTATAATTTACAACAATAATTGAATTCTATAAATCCTTTCGTTAACCAATTTAAATTCATCAAATATATTAATTTTCCGTCCTTATCAAATTCCAAACTATATTATCATCTAATTCAAAACATTTGAACTAATATTAGATCGCATCCATCCAACATAAAATATTAAAACATGACAAGTGGTCTACCCAAAATATTATCCAAACACATCTATCAAAAAATATATCTAATCCTTCAAAAAATGTAACAAGTGCCAACTAGTCCTGTAAAATTCAACTCCGTGGTCACCACCATTATAATTCCTTTATTCTCAATTAAACTCTATTTCAATTCCATCAAGATACATTAAGCAAAAAGTTATACACTTGTACGGGGAGCAAATATTCCGGCGTGCCCGTATTCCTTTCTTCCAAGTTCCGTCGATGTTTGATCACCTGCGAGCAAATAACGGTGAGCTACCCGGCGGTGTGTGGCCGGAAACACCCTCCGACGGGCAAATTAGCACACACCTTAGAGGGAATAGAGAGAAGGGAGAGAGTGTTTGAGTGTAAGGATTTTCTTACAGAGATGTTTGTATGTCGCGTATGGGGGGCGCAGACATGCTTATATACCTTCTGAGCCCCATATCCACTCCCTGTCATCTCCTGACACGTGGCTCTGCTACCACTAACAAATTTGGTTGCCAAAAAAGATAAAAACCAGACCAAATTTGTGGTAGCCAATTCAATTTTTAAATCAAAATAGATAAATATTTTATTTTAATAACATGTAACCTCTATGATATAATAAAAATCCATTCAATAGAACCTATAATTTACAACAATAATTGAATTCTATAAATCCTTTCGTTAACCAATTTAAATTCATCAAATATATTAATTTTCCGTCCTTATCAAATTCCAAACTATATTATCATCTAATTCAAAACATTTGAACTAATATTAGATCGCATCCATCCAACATAAAATATTAAAACATGACAAGTGGTCTACCCAAAATATTATCCAAACACATCTATCAAAAAATATATCTAATCCTTCAAAAAATGTAACAAGTGCCAACTAGTCCTGTAAAATTCAACTCCGTGGTCACCACCATTATAATTCCTTTATTCTCAATTAAACTCTATTTCAATTCCATCAAGATACATTAAGCAAAAAGTTATACACTCTTTGGAAATGTACGTCTCCACAATTGAACCTTTAGGATGAGCTTTATTGATAACAAATTCTTTTAGAATTCCAAGTAGCCTATAAATTACAAATATGACAATATTATACAACAATTCGGAGTTTAAATTTATTACGATTGTACTATAAGAGTATAAATAATACCTTTCAATTGGGTATATCTATCGATATTGCACTGACCCTCCAAGCATAGCCTCGCGAGGCAAATGAACAGCCAAATGAACCATCACGACATCAAAGAATGCTAGAAGAAAAATCTTCTCAAGCTTGCAAATGACAAGTATGATTTGATCCTCTAGCTTCTCTAAATCTACAACCTTTAACATCTTTGAACACAATTGTTAGAAGAAATTTCCTAACTCAAAAAGTGTGGTACCAATTTCATCGTTAAGGTACCTATGCATCCCAACAAGAAGAAGTCCCTGTAAAAATACATGGCAATCATGACTTTTGAGGCCCGAGATTTTTCCATCCTGAGTATTCATGCAATTGGAGATGTTTGTTGTATAACCATCAGGATACTTGATTGATTTCAAAAAATCACAAAAATCTTGGCTTTCTTTCGCGGATGGTGTACAATGTTGGAGGCTTTTCAAAGGACCCCTCCACACACCTCTATAGGTGCACCTTCCGTATTCTCAAATTTTCCAAATTAATCCGTACTTTTTCTACATCTTTGTTCTTCTCATCCGTGTTTAACAATGTCCCAA